GAAAAATTGGGGGACGCCTGGGTGGTTCAGTGTTTGAGTGTCTGCCTTTGGCTTAGGTTGGGATCCTGGGATCCAGTCCTGCATCAGGCTTCCCTCAGGTAGTCTGCTTCTCCCTCTGCCTAGGTCTCTGCCTCTCTCTCTGTCTTATGAATAAATAAATAAAATCTTTAAAAATAATAAATAAGAGACAGGAGGAGGGGCAAGATGGCAGAAGAGTAGGGTACCCGAGTCACCTGTCCCCACCAAATTACCTAGATAACCTTCAAATCATCCTGAAAATCTACGAATTCGGCCTGAGATTTAGAGAGAACAGCTGGAATGCTACAGTGAGAAGAGTTCACGCTTCTATCAAGGTATGAAGATGGGGAAAAAAGAAATAAAGAAACAAAAGGCATCCAGGGGGAGGGGCCCTGCGAGGAGCCGGGCTAAGGCCGGGGCGAGTGTCCCCAGGACAGGAGAGCCCCGTCCCGGAGAAGCAGGAGCTTCACCAATCTTCCCTGGCAGAAAGGGGCTCGCAGGGAGTTAGAGCAGGACCCCAGGAGGACGGGGATCCCCTCAGGCTGCCTGGGACACTAACAGAGCACCTGCGCCCCCAGGGGGGAGTGCACCAAGCTCCCTAAAGGGCTGCAGCTCCCACAGGCTTGACCCAGGAGCAGGTCGGAGGGGCTCCAGCGGTGGCTCCGCAGAGAGGGGGCTGCGCGGCCCGGGGGCAGCTTAGAGGCAGCTCCAGCAGAGGAAGAGGCTCCATGTGGAGGGGGCTGCGCGGCCTCGGGAGCAGCTTGGAGGGGCTCAGATGGCAGCTCAGCGGAGGGGGCTGCCCGGCTAGGAGCGCGAATCCAACAGCAGAGGCCCGGGAACACAGGGCGCGGGGACACAGCCCAGGATCCGACCTGCCCCGGGCACAGCCCAGGATCCAACCTGCCCCGGGACAGGGAGAGTCCAGGAAGCCCAGGACAGCAAGGAAGCTCCTGCCCCGAGCTGAGCAGATCAGCAGCCCTGCCCCCGGAGCATCCAGACCTCTGCAGGCTGAGAGCTCCGTAGTTCCTGCGGGAGCTGAATCCAGGGCTCCAGAGCCGGCCACCGCCACTGTGGTTGTTCCTCCTGGGGCTTCACAGGGTAAACAACCCCCGCTGAGCCCTGCACCAGGCAGGGGGGCAAAGCGGCTCCACCAAGTTCTAATACTTGAAAATCAGCACAACAGGCCCCTCCCCCAGAAGACCAGCTAGATGGACAAGTTCCAGGGGAAGTCAAGGGGCTTAAACTATACAGAATCAGAAGATACCCCCCGTGTTTTTTTGTTTTTGTTTTTTTTTTTCTTTTTGATTTGTTTGCTTTCCCCACCCTTTTTTTCCCTTTTTCTTTCTCTTTTTCTTCTCTTTTTTTTCTTCCTTTTTTCTTTTTCTCTTTTCTTTCCTTCTTTATCTCCTCTCTTTTTCTCCTTTTCCAACACAACTTGTTTTTGGCCACTCTGCACTGAGCAAAATGACTAGAAGGAAAACCTCACCTCAAAAGGAAGAATCAGAAACAGTCCTCTCTCCCACAGAGTTACAAACTCTGGATTACAATTCAATGTCAGAAAGCCAATTCAGAAGCACAATTATAAAGCTACTGGTGGCTCTAGAAAAAAGCATAAAGGACTCAAGAGACTTCATGACTGCAGAATTTAGATCTAATCAGGAAGAAATTAAAAATCAATTGAATGAGATGCAATCCAAACGAGAAGTCCTAACGACGAGGGTTAATGAGGTGGAAGAATGAGTGAGTGACATAGAAGACAAGTTGATGGCAAAGAGGAAAACTGAGGAAAAAAGAGACAATTAAAAGACCATGAGGACAGATTAAGGGAAATAAATGACAGCCTGAGGAAGAAAAACCTATGTTTAATTGGGGTTCCTGAGGGAGCCGAAAGGGACAGAGGTCCAGAATATGTATTTGAACAAAGCACAGCTGAAAACTTTCCTAATCTGGGAAGGGAAACAGGCATTCAGACCCAGGAAATAGAGAGATCCCCCCTAAAATCAATAAAAACCGTTCAACACCTGAACATTTAATAGTTAAGCTTCAAAAGAGACAATAAATCCCTGACTTTTATGGAGAGGAGTATTAGGGTAACAGCAGACCTCTCCACAGAGACCTGGCAGGCCAGAAAGGGCTGGCAGGATATATTCAGGGTCCTAAATGAGAAAAACATGCAACCAAGAATACTTTATCCAGCAAGGCTCTCATTCAGAATGGAAGGAGAGATAAAGAGCTTCCAAGACAGGCAGGAACTGAAAGAATATGTGACCTCCAAACCAGCTCTGCAAGAAATTTTAAGGGGGACTCTTAAAATTCCCCTTTAAGAAGAAGTTCAGTGGAACAATCCACAAAAACAAGGACTGAATAGATATCATGATGACACTAAACTCATATCTGTCAATAGTAACTCTGAACGTGAACGGGCTTAATGACCCCATCAAAAGGCGCAGGGTTTCAGACTGGATAAAAAAGCAGGACCCATCTATTTGCTGTCTACAAGAGACTCATTTTAGACAGAAGGACACCTACAACCTGAAAATAAAAGGTTGGAGAACCATTTACCATTCAAATGGTTCTCAAAAGAAAGCAGGGGTAGCCATCCTTATATCAGATAAACTAAAATTTACCCCGAAGACTGTAGTGAGAGATGAAGAGGGACACTATATCATACTTAAAGGATCTATCCAAAAAGAGAACTAAACAATCCTCAATATATATGCCCCGAATGTGGGAGCTGCCAAATACTTAAACGAATTATTGACCAAAGTAAAGAAATACTTAGATAATAATACACTTATACTTGGTGACTTCAATCTAGCTCTTTCTACCCTTGATAGGTCTTCTAAGCACAACATCTCCAAAGAAACGAGAGCTTTAAATGATACACTGGACCAGATAGATTTCACAGATATCTACAGAACTTTACATCCAAACTCAACTGAATACACATTCTTCTCAAGTGCACATGGAACTTTCTCCAGAATAGACCACATACTGGGTCACAAATCGGGTCTGAACCGATACCAAAAGATTGGGATCGTCCCCTGCATATTCTCAGACCATAACGCCTTGAAATTAGAACTAAATCACAACAAGAAGTTTGGAAGGACATCAAACACGTGGAGGTTAAGGACCATCCTGCTAAAAGATGAAAGGGTCAACCAGGAAATTAAGGAAGAATTAAAAAGATTCATGGAAACTAATGAGAATGAAGATACAACCGTTCAAAATCTTTGGGATGCAGCAAAAGCAGTCCTGAGGGGGAAATACATCACAATACAAGCATCCATTCAAAAACTGGAAAGAACTCAAATACAAAAGCTAACCTTACACATAAAGGAGCTAGAGAAAAAACAGCAAATGGACCCGATGCCCAGCAGAAGAAGAGAGTTAATTAAAATTCGAGCACAATTCAACGAAATTGAGACCAGAAGAACTGTGGAACAGATCAATAGAACCAGGAGTTGGTTCTTTGAAAGAATTAATAAGATAGATAAACCATTAGCCAGCCTTATTAAAAAGAAGAGAGAGAAGACTCAAATTAATAAAATCATGAATGAGAAAGGAGAGATCACTACCAACACCAAGGAAATACAAACGATTTTAAAAACATTATGAACAGCTCTACGCCAATAAATTAGGCAATCTAGAAGAAATGGACGCATTCCTGGAAAGCCACAAACTACCAAAACTAGAACAGAAAGAAATAGAAAACCTGAACAGGCCAATAACCAGGGAGGCAATTGAAGCAGTCATCAAAAACCTCCCAAGACACAAGAGTCTAGGGCCAGATGGCTTCCCAGGGGAATTCTATCAAACGTTTAAAGAAGAAACCATACCTATTCTACTAAAGCTGTTTGGAAAGATAGAAAGAGATGGAGTACTTCTAAATTCATTCTATGAGGCCAGCATCACCTTAATTCCAAAACCAGACAAAGACCCCACCAAAAAAGGAGAATTACAGACCAATATCCCTGATGAACATGGATGCAAAAATTCTCAACAAGATACTAGCCAATCGGATCCCAACAGTACATTAAGAAAATTATTCACCATCACCAAGTAGGATTTATTCCTGGGACACAAGTCTGGTTCAACACTCGTAAAACAATCAATGTGATTCATCATATCAGCAAGAGAAAAACCAAGAACCATATGATCCTCTCATTAGATGCAGCGAAAGCATTTGACAAAATACAGCATCCATTCCTGACCAAACTCTTCATAGTGTAGGGATAGAGGGAACATTCCTCAACATCATAAAAGCGATCTACAAAAAGCCCACAGCAAATATCATTCTCAATGGGGAAGCACTGGGAGCCTTTCCCCTAAGATCAGGAACAAGACAGGGATGTCCACTCACCACTACTATTCAACATAGTACTGGAAGTCCTAGCCTCAGCATTCAGAAAACAAAAAGACATTAAAGGCATTCAAATTAGCAAAGAAGTCAAACTCTCCCTCTTCACTGATGACATGATACTGTACATAGAAAACCCAAAAGCCTCCACCCCAAGATTGCTAGAACTCATACGGCAATTCGACAGCGTGGCAGGATACAAAATCAATGCCCAGAAGTCAGTGGCATTTCTATACACTAACAATGAGACTGAAGAAAGAGAAATTAAGGAGTCAATCCCATTTACAATTGCACCCAAAAGCATAAGATACCTAGGAACAAACCTAACCAAAGAGGTAAAGGATCTATACCCTAAAAACTATAGAACACTTCTGAAAGAAATTGAGGAAGACACAAAGAGATGAAAAAATATTCCATGCTCATGGATTGGCAGCATTAATATTGTGAAAATGTCAATGTTACCCAGGGCAATTTACACGTTTAATGCAATCCCTATCAAAATACCATGGACTTTCTTCAGAGAGTTAGAACAAATTATCTTAAGATTTGTGTGGAATCAGAAAAGACCCCGAATAGCCAGGGGAATTTTAAAAAAGAAAACCATAGTTGGGGGCATCACAATGCCAGATTTCAGGTTGTACTACGAAGCTGTGGTCATCAAGACAGTGTGGTCCTGGCACAAAAACAGACACATAGATCAATGGAACAGAATAGCGAATCCACAAGTGGACCCTGAACTTTATGGTCAACTAATATTCGATAAAGGAGGATTGACTATCTGCTGGAAGAAAGACAGCCTCTTCAATAAATGGTGCTGGGAAAATTGGACATCCACATGCAGAAGAATGAAACTAGACCACTCCCTTGCACCATACACAAAGATAAACTCAAATTGGATGAAAGATCCAAATGTGAGACAAGATTCCATCAAAATCCTAGAGGAGAACACAGGCAACACCCTTTTTGAACTCGGCCACAGTAACTTCTTGCAAGATACATCCACGAAGACAAAAGAAACAAAAGCAAAAATGAACTATTGGGAATTCATCGAGATAAGCAGCTTTTGCACAGCAAAGGATACAGTCAACAAAACTAAAAGACAGCCTACAGAATGGGAGAACATATTTGCAAAGGACGTATCAGATAAAGGGCTAGTTTCCAAGATCTATAAAGAACTTATTAAACTCAACAGCAAAGAAACAATCCAATCATGAAATGGGCAAAAGACATGAACAGAAATCTCACAGAGGAAGACATAGTCCTGGCCAACATGCACATGAGAAAATGCTCTGTATCACTTGCCATCAGGGAAATACAAATCAAAACCACAATGAGATACCACCTCACACCAGTGAGAATGGGGAAAATTAACAAGGCAGGAAACCACAAATGTTGGAGAGGATGCGGAGAAAAGGGAACCCTCTTACACTGTTGGTGGGAATGTGAAATGGTGCAGCCATTCTAGAAAACTGTGTGGAGGTTTCTCAAAGAGTTAAAAATAGACCTGCCCTACGACCCAGCAATTGCACTGTTAGGGATTTACCCCAAAGATACAGATGCAATGAAACGCCGGGACACCTGCACCCCGATGTTTCTAGCAGCAGTGTCCACAATAGCCAGACTGTGGAAGGAGCCTCGGTGTCCATTGAAAGATGAATGGATAAAGAAGATGTGGTTTATGTATACAATGGAATATTACTTAGCCATTAAAAATGAGAAATACCCACCATTTGCTTCAATATGGATGGAACTGAAGGGTATTATGCTGAGTGAAATGAGTCAGTCGGAGAAGGACAAACATTATATGTTCTCATTCATTTGGGGAATATAAATAATAGTGGAAGGGAATAGAAGGGAAGGGAGAAGAAATGTGTGGGAAATATCAGAAAGGGAGACAGAACATAAAGACTCCTAACTCTGGGAAATGAAATAGGAGTGTTGGAAGGGGCGGAGGGCAGAGGGTGGGGCTGAATGGGTGACAGGCACTGAGGGGGGCAGTTTACGGGATAAGCACTGGGTCTTATTCTGTATGTTGGCAAATTGAACACCAATAAAAAATAAATTTGTTATAAAATAACTAACTAAATAAATAAAGAAAGAAAAGAAAAATTAGACTAGGACATAGAGGTTCTATTTTTTGTTAGATGTACTTGGAAATAAGTCACAGGAAGGCAGGGAAAGAAAGTTATAACCTTTTTGTTCCAGAATTAGAATTAAACTCTAAGGCAGAAATAAAACAAATCTGTGTTCAACTTCTGGTGTGTCATTCCCCCTCAGAGAGGGGCTGGGAGTCTACCCCACAGGATGACTATGAGGAGTGAGTCATGATGGCTGGGGAAGAGCTGAGCACAGCATGCAGTCCTCCATTGCTTTCTTGTCTTGGTTTTGGACAGAAGGAGACTAAATGGTAGCTTAATCTGGCAGTAATATTGAAGAAAATCTGGAAAAAACAAGACTTGGAGTTATTAGCACATCACCCATTTTCTGGGCTTTGTCCTCTTCTTGCTCCATGTTTCTGGGTCTTTAGTTTCTCCTCTCTGCTCCACTAAATACACTTGTGTCTATTTGCTGGTAAACAAACTAGAGGCACTCGACCTCTGACTTCTCTCAGCTCTCACCCTTTCTCCATTTCCTCTCTATTGCAATGACCATCTGTAACGTCTTTATGTGTTTGCTCCTTTCCTCATCTACCCCAGCACATTTCCCTCTACACCAAGAGTGCTCTTGCCCAGCCATGTCCTAAGCGTCTTTCTGGCTAAGGCCACAGCACCTTCTAATTCTTAGTTGGCATGCTGTACTCCCACTGCTTCTCTTCCCTTGGCTATCCTCTCTAAATTCCCTCCTCCATGACTACTCTTTCTTTGCCCTTCACTGGGGCATCTTTGGCGTCAAGTCAATCTTCTTGTCCTTAAGGGACCCATGCTTGCTGGAGTAACCCTTCTCATTCCCTCTCCCTGATAATAATACTCAATGAAATGAATGTCACAGATAGGATGATAGCTTTCAAATCTGTATTTTCATCTAATTTCTAAAAATTTTACTTCATGTCATTCAATATTCACTTAACATACATATATTAAATACCTACTCTGGCAGGCAACATGCCAGGCAGGGGATATAAGGCAAAGTACACTCAACCATGACAGCTCAGTAAGACTGCATACTTGTGACTAGACAGAGATTCAGAGAGACAAGGCAAATGTAGTATGAAATACAATCATAAACAAAGGAAGAATCTTTAGGATATAGCCCAATGGGGAAGTTGGAAGACCAGTAAAGGAGAGAAAAATCCAGAATCAAAAATACATGTGTTTGCCTCTGCTGCCTCCAGGAAACCCACCAAAATGACAGTGGGATACTGAAAAAGGCATATTAAAACCACCAACATAATCTAGAGAACAAGGGGAAAATGCTGCATACATATACCAAAAACAAAACAAACAAAAAAATAACCTAAATATTCTCATACAGATGAGAAATCAATGAAAGCATTAAACAAAGATTGCTATTGGAGATCCCTGGGTGGCTCAGTGGTTTGGTGCCTGCCTTTGGCCCAGGGCGTGATCCTGGAGTCCCAGATGGAGTCCCACATCGGGCTCCTTGCATGGAGCCTGCTTCTCTCTCTGCCTGTGTCCCTGCCCACCCCCCCACCCCATCTCTCATGAATAAATGAATAAAATCTTAAAAAAAAGATTGCTATTAAGGAAAAAGGAACACTCAGAATGAGAAGTTTCCCAGAAATTTAAGAATAGAAATTTTTTTTCAAAGAAGAATGGAAAGAGTAAGTTTAAGGAAATCTTCATATCTCCTGGTACTTTTCCCTTCAAACAAGGCCATGTAGTCAATAGTCAACCACAGGGTCTTTGCACCTGCTGTTCCTTGGGCCCAGCATAGTCTGCCACATGGCCCATCACTTTGTGAGTTATGTGTTCAACAGCCATCTTTAAGGAGAGGCCATCTCTGATCACTCCCTCTGAAATAAGCTGCTGTTAACTGATCTAGTTCCCTTATGCTTATTGCTTTTTCCACAGAGCACTAGGACTTTATGCTTTTCATTCCTGTCCTTTCCTTCCCCCTCCGTGCTTACTTTCTTTATTATGGTCTCCTCTACTAGAGTATAAGATCCATGGGGAAACCACCTGTCTTATTTATTGCTATATCCACAGTGCTAGGAACAGGGCCTAATGTTCACAAAATGTTTGCTGAATAAATAGGTTATTACATAAGAATAAATATAAATATAAATAGCAATAGTAATCAAATCCACAAAAGTCTATAGTAAAGGCAATTAAAGCTATCTTTAGGGATCATTTTATACGTAATAAATTAGCATTAAAAGGCATAAAATATCCAAAGTTGTGCCATGTGTAGCAAGTGATTATAGTAAAATCCTGTTCTTTAAAAAGCTTCCTGGAAACTAGTAGCCATGTTCATAAGATTCTTTGTTCCTGTTGGTGTGTTCTTTTACTGATCTCTTTTATTGCTTTATACTTAGGTAGCCATATACTTTCTAGAGTTTAAAAAAAAAAAGTGCCTGTCTCTTTAGAAAATACATAAGAAGAAATGCTGATCAATACTTTCATATTGAATAGAGAATATAAGGCTGTAAAATGTATTTTTTCAGAGAAAAGTCAGCAATAACCTCTGACAGAAACTTCATTTGTGAGGGGGATTAGAAACCAATTAACAAACACTGAGAGGCGGGATCCCTGGGTGGTGCAGCGGTTTGGCGCCTGCCTTGGCCCAGGGTGCGATCCTGGAGACCCGGGATCGAATCCCACGTCGGGCTCCCGGTGCATGGGGCCTGCTTCTCCCTCTGCGTATGTCCCTGCCTCTCTCTCTCCCTCTGTGTGACTATCATAAATAAATAAAAATTTAAAAAAAAAAACACTGAGAGGCATTAAATGCTTAGCAGAGAATGGGATGCAGATTGAAAATTTAGGAATGAGAAAGGAAATGTAGAAAATATGAGGTTACTGGTGAAAATAACAAGGCTAAAGTCATCTTTATTTGTTTTTAAATGCAGACAATAAAACATGTATACAAGTTTGCAACTCAGGGATAAAAACATTAGTTTCCTTTAAGAAAACTGACAAGGGTTTAAATGAAGAAGGGAAAGAAAGCCACGGATATAGGTAATGGCTGAGAAGAAAGACTCATGAAACAGGAAAGAGAATATTAAGTGGAGGAAGAAAGAGGGAGATTCAAAGTACAGATGAAGACAGAGAGGCAATAATAATTGGTCACATTTACGGATGTTCAAGGCAATTATAATAAGTGCTAAAATGTAGTAACTCATTTAACCCTCTACAGTATCACCTCCTTCCATAGTGAGGACTTTTGTAAGACCGAAGGAGGATGAGTGGTGTTAGTAACATAGAGGCCTTTGAGAGAAGACAGTTCAGGGGTGCAGGTCTCCCCAGGAGACCCATGAAGCTCTGCAGTGATTTCTCCCACGGGGACACACCTAGTGACAAGTCCCTACAGTCTGATCCGTACCTGGAGAGAGGCACACTGAAAGTTCTTTTGTCATCCAGCTCATTCTTCCAGCTCCAGCTGAGAAATCTCATTTGATTTGGAAAGCTGATAGCCCTGCTCAGGAGGAGAGACACTAAATTTGGCTTCTGAACTAAGTGTAAAAACCCTTTCAGTACCTGTCCTGTCCCTTCCCCTTCAGGCCTTCTGAAGCTTCCATTTTCCATTCTATGTCCAAAGAGGACACAAACAACTATCCTCAAACAATGACCTATCACTGTTTGGATTGCAACTGCAAATTCCTCAATTTCAGCGGTTACACAAGTGTCAGTAGGTGGGGCACAATGTCAGTAGGGAGGTTTTGAGTTACAACAAGAGATCCTTACCTAGTGAAGCCAAGTCCCTGTCCTTCAGCATCACTGTCTCATACAAGTTCCTTTGAGCAGAATCCAGACGAATCCACTCCTCCCAAGTGCAATTCACAGACACATTCCGGAATGTCACTGACTCCTGAAACTATAAATTCCTGCTCAAAGGATTATGCCAATAAAACCCCCTAAGGGAAGTGGGGGAAAAAAAGCAGCATTAGAAAAGACAGGACAAAGAGATCTGTGTGAGAAAAATGTGTTACCTGCCAAAAGAAACTAAACAAAAAATGTACATTATCATGAAATAATGTACAATATCATGAATAAATGTAATACCAGAAGTGCTTGGGGTCGCCTGGGTGGCTCAGTCAATTGAGTATCTGACTCCTGATTTCAGCTCAGGTCATGATCTCAGGGTCGTGAGATTGAATCCTGTGCCATGCTGCATGCTGGGCATGGAGCCCACTTAAGATTCCTTCTCTCCTTCTCCCTCTGTCCCTACCTCCACCCATCATGCACTCTCTCTTAAAGAAATAAAAAGAAAGTGCTTTGGCATGTAAAGACAGGAAGAGGAGGTACTAGGGAGTAATAGGAAAGGCACTGAGGCTGCTCTAGATTTCCACTGGAGAAGGATAGGTGCTGTTTTGATGGCCTCCCATTTACCCCATTGGTGAAGGAGGGATCCCTGCCTTGCAGAGTACAAGATGACTGAACACATGACACCCAGCACCAGACAGAAGGCACTGAGCAGTTTATCAGCCCAGGGAAGGAGGAATTCCTCGGTAGGAATGCAGGGCCACCAAGGGGCTGCACTCGTGACCCAGAGGGGCTTTGTAATGACAGGAGAGTGAGGTGAAGATGCAGGGTTGCTGTGGGAAGATGCAGCCAGCTTGTTTGAACAATTTCCTGGGCCATTCCAGAGACGTGAAACCCATCAGGTTGAGGACTGGACTGGGAGGAGTGCACCTGGTCTGGCTGACAGTACAGCTAGCTGGGGAGGGTGCCTTTCCTGCTGGGCTGGGGCAAGGAGACCAGGAGAACTCAGAGCCGGGTCTTCGGAGCCCCACAAGGCTCAGTGTTGTCAAGGCTGCACATGGAATTTCAGGCTTTGCTAAATAGGTAGAATCCCAGTTCCTGGAGGGAAAGCATGTACAAACAGGATACTTGTAGAATATGGTTGAAAGGACCAAGAAAACACCCAGCTTGACTTGAAAGTGGCATTTTGAATTCATAAGCCCATTTCAGCCTTGTTCTCTAGCCCTCAGACTAGGAAGTAAAACATAATAGGCGTTCAGTATCTGTTTAATGAGTGTGATGGTTAATTTTATGTGTCAGCTTGATGGGCTAAGGTATGCCCAGAGAGCTAGTAAAGCATTATTTCTAGATGTTTCTGTGAGGGTGCTCCCAGTGAATCAGTAGACTGAATCAAGATCAGCTCTCAGCAGTGTGAGAGGGCACATCTAGTGCCAAACAGAACAAAAAGGCTGAGGAAGGACTAATTGCTGGCTCTGCTTGAGCTCTGACAGCCACCAGCTCCCTCCCTCAGATGGTCTCTTAGCTCTTGTGCCTTCAGACTTGGACCAGTACTTACACCCTCAGTCCTGATCTCAGGCCTCCAGGTTGGGAGTAGAACTACACCCTGACTTCCCTGGCCTCCAGACCGCAGAGCGCAGATCATGGGGACTCTTCAGCCTATGGTTATGTTTCTTGGAAGAAGCCTGACTAGTACAAGGAGGGAGCACTAACCCGAGTTTCACATTTGTACTGAGTTTTGCACTAATAGGAGACTCACATACCTCACCTCATTTAATCGATATGACAACCCATTAGATTTTTAGCACCAAAGTTATTTTCCAGATGAGGAATCTGAAGATCAAAACAGTTAAATAACTTTTCCACAATCTCACAGCTGGGACTCAAACCCAAGGTCACCTCTCTCCTTGTGTTGTGAGAGGAGAAGGCCAAGAAAAGAGCCCTTGCAGCCAACCTCCATCAGAGCGAGTGAGAATGTGGGCTGGGGGGAGGGAGAGAAAGGAGATTCAGGACTGCAGGTCCGGGAGGAGGGAGTAGGGCAAACTGAAAGAGAGTTTCCAGTTGGAAAATGAGCTAATTTCAGCAGAGTGCTGAAGGCAGAAGTTAGCTTACAGTGGAAGATAAGGAGTCAGAAGCAGCTAGATGGAATTACTTCAGACTTACGTGGAAAAGATGGGAGAGGAGAGTATGGAAAGAAGTAAGGACTAGGGAACAGGGATAAAGCCATGGGGAGGCTTTCAACTAAGGACAGAGAGCGCTGTACCATGTAAATGGGGAAAGGAGAGAAAAGGCCTGGATGCCAGAGATGGGACATAGCCCACGTCCAAGAAATGTGTGTATTTTACATCCTGCTTGCTGTGAACTTCTAGAAAAAGTTCAGCACTGAAACAGAGTTCATTCTCTTTCTACTTCATTATTTTCTCCTAATCAACTATATCAACATAAAATGTTAAAAGTCACTTACAAATATTGTCAAGAGATGTAGAGGTAGCTACTTGTAGGACAACATTACACAGCAGAATTTCCATTTTATGAACGGAACCAAGAAAAAGCATCAGTTTAACGAATGTAAAGAAAGGAAACAGGAAACCATAATAAAAATAAATAGATAATCAGAAAAAAGATACTTGTATAACAACATACATGAATGAGTTGACTTTCTCTATTAAGAGACAAAAACACAGGGAGCCTGGGTGGCTCAGCGGTTTAGCGCCGCCTTCAGCCCAGGGCGTGATCCTGGAGACCGGGATGGAGTCCCACATCCGGCTCCCTACATGGAGCCTGCTTCTCCCTCTGCCTGTGTCTCTGCCCCTCTCTCTCTCTCTCTCTCTCTCTGTGTGTGTGTGTGTGTCTGATAAATAAAATCTTTTAAAAATAAAAAAAATATTAAAAAAAGAGAAAAACACTAAAATTGGTTTCAAATCTAGGACATACAAGAGACATACCTAAAGCACCAGAAAGTTAAAAAAGTGTGTGTGTGTGCACGTGCGTGTGTAGGCGGTGGGCAGAGACAAGATACAGCAGGCCAGTGCAAATAAAAAATAAAAGAAAAAAGAAAAAAGAAACTGGGCTGAGAACATATGAATATCAGATAAAGTAGAATGTATGTGGAAACATACAAGGGGCTTATGCTTTATAAGCCCCTTCTTTGAGAAAAAAGGTAACATCAGAAATAGGATATTCTCTTTCCAAAAATTAATGTACCTTTTTTTTTTTTCAAAAATTGCGTCATTAGCTGAATATATTGGGCAAAATTAAAAGCCCAGATTCTGACCCCTATGGGCTGTCTTCCCCCCTTCCCTGGATTCCTATTGGCTTTAGTGCAAAGCTCCCAAGAGTGTCCCAGAGCTGGTCTCTCTTATGAAATATCCTGTGGACCTCTGAGATGAATGATTTAGGGAAGTAAGAGCATTTTAAAAGGCTAACGTGGGCAGCCCCGGTGGCACAGCGGTTTGGCGCCGCCTGCAGCCCGGGGTGTGATCCTGGAGACAGGGGATCGAGTCCCACGTCAGGCTCCCTGCATGGAGCCTGCTTCTCCCTCTGCCTGTGTCTCTGCCTCTCTCTCTCTCTGGGTCTCTATGAATAAATAAATAAAATCTTAAAAAAAAAATAAAAGGCTAACGTAAGACTTAATGATGTTCATAAAGTGTATTTGTTGTGTAACTCCCTTCAGAAGTTTCTCCTTTCTCCTTTCCACTTTTCTCTCCAGCTCTACATTAAAAGCACAGGGTAGGGGATCCCTGGGTGGCTCAGCGGTTTGGCACCTGCCTTTGGCCCGGGGCATGATCCTGGAGTCCCAGGATCGAGTCCCAGGATCGAGTCCCACGTCAGACTCCCAGCATGGAGCCTGCTTCTTCCTCTGCCTGTGTCTCTGCCTCTCTCTCTCTCTTATCATGAATAAATAAATAAAGTCTTTTTTAAAAAAATTTTTAAGGGATCCCTGGGTGGCGCAGTGGTTTAGCACCTGCCTTTGGCCCAGGGCGCGATCCTGGAGACCCAGGATCGAATCCCATGTCGGGCTCCCGGTGCATGGAGCCTGCTTCTCCCTCTGCCTGTGTCTCTGCCTCTCTCTCTCTCTCTCTGTGTGACTATCATGAATAAATAAAAAAATAATAATAAAAATAAAAATTAAAAAAAATTTTTTTAAAAAGCACAGGGTAAAGTAACTCATGGTGTTTGAAATAAGCAGCTTCATGGTCTCATTCATGTAAAAGGTTTTCTTGAACCTAAAGATACAGACTTTTTGCTGTTGTTATCTTTGAAAAGACTGAGGATCAAATGGGATAAATGGGAATATTTTAAATGATCAAAGTATAATTTATAAAAAAAAGTAATGACACTGATGAAATTTTATGCACTACAGCAATAAAATGTCTCAGATATAATTCTCAGCAATCTGATTTTTATTTAAGATTTATTTATTTATTTGAGAGACAACACATGTGCACATGAGCCCATGGGTTGGGGGTGCTGCAGAGTCAGAGGGAGAGAATCTCAAGTGGACTCCTTGCAGAGTGCAGAGCCCAATGTGGGGCTTAATCCATGACCCTGAGATCATAGCTGCACCAAAACCAAGAGTCAGAGGCTTAACCAAATGAGCCCCCCAGGTGCCCCATCAATCCAGTTTTTTAAAAAAACCGCAATCACAATAGCAACAAAAAATGAAACCTCAGAATACGCTTAATAGGAATATGCAAGATTCTTGTGATCAGACTTAAAAGCCATAACGAAGGGTAGTTTTTTCTTATTCAATAGGAAGAGTAAACTTTGTAAAAGATGGTTGTCTTCCTCAAATTGATATAGATTTAATGGAATTCAAATCAGAATTGCATACTTTTTTAAAAAAAGATTTTATTTATTTATGAGAGACACAGACTGAGAGGCAGAGACATAGGCAGAGGTAGAAGGTAGAAGCAGGCTCCCTGCAAGGAGCCTGATGTGGCATTTTTTTTTTAATTTTTATTTATTTATGATAGTCACAGAGAGAGAGAGAGAGGCGCAGAGACACAGGCAGAGGGAGAAGCAGGCTCCATGCACCGGGAGCCCGATGTGGGATTCGATCCTGGGTCTCCAGGATCGCGCCCTGGGCCAAAGGCAGGCGCCAAACCGCTGCGCCACCCAGGGATCCCCTGATGTGGCATTTGATCCCAAATCCCGGGATCACGCCTTGAGCTGAAGGCACACGCTCAACTGCTGAGCCACCCAGGTGTCCCAAGAATTGCATACTTTTTAACTTACTATTAGAACTTGGTAATAGTTAATAAAATTTAACTATAAGGATAAATGTAAAAGAGCAGTACAGGAATTAAAAATTGGAAAAGGGGAGATTTGCTTTATGAAATAACAAATTCTAAAACAAAATAGTGTATTATATAGCAAGAATAGCAGCAGGAATTGAGCGGAATCCAGAAAAACTTGTGTAATATATATATAAATATAGTATACATTAAAGGCAGCATTTCCAATCTATGGAGAAGCAGCAGATTATTCAGAATATTACATCAGTTGGAATTCCATCTCCTCAAGAGTGTCACTCTGGCTCTGCCCAGCTAAAACAGACATTAAACTCCACCATGCTGCCCTGCTGTGTGGCTATCACAGCACCTAACAACGTCCTCAGTAATTATTCCTTCTTCTCTCCTGCCTCCCCTTTCTGTAAGGCAGGATCTAGGAGAAAGGGACTTAGTCTGTCTCACTGCCATTTTCCCAACATCCAGAATACTGCCCAATGCGTGGTAGGCAGGTGCTTACTCCCTATTTAGCACATGGATGGATGATGAAATGCTATACCACATTGTTAAATGAAGTTAAATTCCGACCTCACATTATATACAATAAATTCCAGATAGCTCAGAGAATTTAAAATATGTCAATTTAAAATGATAAAATAGAAAATGTAGAAAAATATTTATATAATGTTAGATACAGAAAGCCTTTCATAGCATGATTCCAAAGCCAAACAAAGGGGAGGAAAGGTAACTGCATAAAACTTCAAAACTTATTTGTAGCAGATGTTATAAACAAATTTAAAAGAAATGACAGGGAATAAATAATATTGACAATTTGTGGCAAAGGATTAGTATCAAATCTTGCATAAAAGGCTTCTTTTATATACAAACCACCCAGTATAAAACTGGGCAAGGATATAAACATATTTAAAAGGCCTGAAGAATGTATGTCCATGCTTATTTTTGAGGGTTTGAGACCTGCAAGTATATATTATAGTTGTAACAGGCCTAGTACGTATATTCAGAAAAAGAAAAGCTTAAAAGCAAATACAAGTCATACTTGGGGGATTCATAGTCACATCATCAGCCTACAAAGGAAATATGGAAAAAGCAGAGCAGTTCAAATGCTTCACTGATACGTTCCAGGTGTAACTGTCAAGATCATCCAAGACAAAGACTGGGGAGCTGTTCCAGGTTAAGGGAGGCTAAGGAAATGTGACAGCTCAATGCCAGTTATGATCTGGATTGGGTCCTGGACCAGATAAAGGACATTTGTGTCAAAATATGTGTTAAGGTTTGTAGATTAGCTAACTGTGTCCATGGCAGTGTCCTCACTTGTTAATTGTATTCTGGTGAAATAAAATGAAAAGCTTGTTTTTAGGAAACACGTACTAAGGTATTCAGAAATCAAACCAGTGATTGCCTGGGGCCGGGGATGTGGACAGAAGGGGGTGATGACACTTTCTGGAGTAATGAAAACGTTCCATAGCTTGATTGGGGTGGTGATTATGTTAGTGCATAAATCTGTCAAAACTCGATGAACTTAATATGCTTAAAATGGATTATTTTATGTAAAATTACACCTGGAAAAAAAAAAGCTAATTTAAGAACTCAATTAACCCTATTTTAACTAAATAAAGTAAAATCAAGGCTCCTGACAATCAAAAGACAACCTTCATCAACCAAAATCTTCTGAACACTCCCTCCCAAACCTTCTTTTCCAGAAACTCCCTCTTTCTTCTGCCTATTTTTTGAGTTATATTGCCTTTTATAACTGAGCTTGATAATACTAAGGAGAGAAAGTAGTACAAAAAGAAATCACAACAGTTAGTACTTGTCTCCATGAAGCCTTCTTTAAACTGTTTCTTTTGATAAATACACAAGTGACATATCTGAGAGAACCCCAATACATGATCTTATGAATAGAGAAAACACCACAAGTCCTGTGGGATTGCAAAGTTAAGCCTAACCTTAAAGCAAACAAAAAAACTGAAGGTCTCCTGGGGCCAAGTCCCCTTGATTTCTCCTTCTTTTTCCAGAGAAGCAACAACTTAAGGTTCTAGTAAAAACTAGCAGGTTTCATATTCTTTCTATTTTTTTAAATTTTATTTATTTATTTGAGAGAGAGAAAGTACAAGCAGGGGTAGCAGCAGAGGGAGAGGGAAACCCAGGCTCCCTGCTGAGCAAGGAGGCCAATACAGGACCAGGATCATGACCTGAGCTGAAGGCAGACACTTCACCAACTGAGCCACCCAGGTACCCCTAGCAGGTTCCATTTTCAAAGTGATCTCTCAGGGCAAAAAGCCCTGGGCTCCTCACTACTTTTTCACCACCTGATTTCCTTTAGCTTCTTCCTAGAAAAGCTAGGAACATGCTGACTCCCTTATCAAAATTCTTCCTCTTCCACCCCCATGCCTATCACCCTGCCAGACACACAAACTCCCCCTTCCTAATACTTGACCCCAAACTTTGTATCTGATTCCCTCTCATTACCAGTCACTGCTCCATTTGCTCCACCTCCAAAACCAAAATGCCAAGCTAAAATAATGCTAAGAATGCCTTACCAAGTACCCTCTAACATTATAGTAACCATGCTGGGCACTTTTTACTTACATTATTTCCCTTGAACGTTCAACAAACCTATGAGGTACGTATTACTAAATGAAATAAGCCACGTGAAATGCTTAGTAATATCAAGTAGGTGTCCGTCATCACCATGAGGGAACTTCAGGGAATTCAGGTTACTTACCCAAGACAATGCAGCCATTGATAGTAGAGTCAGGATTTAAACTTGGGACAGACACTTTAACTCCAGGATAGCAAATCTTGTCCAGTTATATCCATCCCACCCTACTTCTCCTGGTTGCCACAAATCTTGGAACACTGACAATCTGGGTACCTGGCCATACTTACTATCAAGTTCACGTATAATCATCCTGACTGTATCTTGTAGAGATATGACCTCTTATGTTCCCTATAAGCACCCAGATCATCCTTCATGACTTTTGTTCCATTGATGATGCCTGATGGCACCAAAAGCTCAGGAGGCCAGGGCTTCCAGTTAAATAAGGAGGTGGCCACTGAGGACAGAGCTGAGGGACACTAACAGGCAGTGTGGGAAATATCCAGCGTTTGGAGACCTCAGCAGCCCCATCCTCTGCAGTGATGCCCCCACACAGCACAGGAATAAGTAAGTGGTAAGGAGTAAGGGAGAGGGTTCAGAGAGAAAGATGAGCTCACCTGAGCTGCCGATGGCAGAGGCCCAACAGCCATTGCCTTCTCTTTCCTTCCAGTGCTGTCCTTCCTAGGAGATAGGCAGGATCTAGAGGAGGGAGAGCTGAAGGAAGGAAAAGAAGCCATGAGAAATGAGACTCCTGCAACAACCACAAATTAAATACCTACAGATCAACCAAATAAGAAATGTATAGCACCTACTTAAGGAAAACTATAATTTTTATTTATGAAGTTTATTTTGCTAAGCTTACGTAGATATATAAAGAAGGATGAACAGAGAGACATACTGTATTCCTGGATAGGCTGTCACCATATCTAAATTGTCACTTCCTTGAAATTACCTTATAAACTTAACATGTTCCTAACCAAGTTATACCTAAGTAATAGTATTTTTAAGATAATTATGGAAAAGATTTTTTTAAGTTAATTGTGTCATTTGACAGCCAGGAAACATGTGAAAGGGAAGAGTGGTGAGGGAGAATCTGCCTGCCAGATATCATAAAGCTATAATAATTAGAACACAGTGTTCTGGAACAGGCTGAGTCATTCATTCACCAGATAGTGTTGACCACCTACTGTGTACCAGGCACCATGCTGAGGGGATGGTAAATTACAGCCTAAATAAAACAAATAAACAAGTTCTCTGAGCCCTCAATTAAAATCCTACCAACACAAAGAGTTCAGAAAAAATTGTATATATAAGAATTCAGTGAAAAAAAAATTAGTCATAACTTGGAACAAGGGCTTATCATTTGGAAATGAATAGAAATTGTACATAAAATCAAACTAAAGTACCAGAAGAAAGGCAGATGAACAATTTTGTGATAATGGGAGAGAAGGCCCCCTAACAATGATGTCAAAGACCCAAACTTGAAGGGAAGGTTTTTGTTTGTAACCTTATGAAATGCAACGTTTCTGCCTAGTAAAACACTGTATATCAAATACAGAATTTAAAAACAAAACTCAAAATTGCATCAAAATATTCATTAGTGTTGAAAACAAACTTAAACAACCCTATAGTTTGCACCTCTCAGAAAGTTGAATAGGAACACCCAGACTTGTGGGTCCATCAGGCACCCTTTACATTGCAAATGTTCATAAACTACTGCTTTTCTGGAGTAAGACAGAGGGTATCAAAAGCCTTACAGTATGACTCTGAAGTTTCATCCAAAGAGATTTAAAGAATGAGACTGGAGTGCAAAGATGTATGCAGCCAGATGGCCTATATTGTTTTTAACATGAGGGGGGTAAAAAAAAAACCTGAGAAAGAATATAAAGGCCTTAAAGGGAGGATTGAATATGGCACAGACATAGTTTTCTCACACTCTTTAAAATGACAGTTGTTTTTAAAAACTGGTAAAACTCGATGTTTTCAAAATATTGTTTTTTAAAAAGTTTATTCTCCACCTGGTCCGATTGGTATTTACGTAGATAAAAACATTTGTAAAAAATCGTGGAACTTATTATTTCTGCACCTTAAAACCTTTCCAAATGTATTTCAAATCGCAGTTTTAAAAATAAATAGAGAAAAGGACACTAATGTCCACATCTTTGTGTAAAAACAAAGCCTTTCTATGTTTATATATGCCAACATGCAGATTTTGAGTTTTCATATAATTTGTTTCTTCATGCTCCTCTGAATTTTCTAGTTTTCCTATAGGGAACTTTATTTTTGGGGGGTGGGAGGGGCGGAGAAAAAATTGCTTTAAAAAAAGAAAGGATTCCCTGAAATAGAAATCTGCACGGGTGGGCCTCCCCATTCTCAGGAGACAGTGAAGGGGAGCGGGCGCCAGCGCCGCTCGGGGTCGGAGATCACAGAGGGCGCGTCCGCCAAAGGAGGCGGACACAAAGGGCAGGTGCTGCAGCCCTGACCGCGCACCGGGAGCAGCACCGCCCGAGACTTCCGAAGCCGGGCCCGGGGAAAGCCCGCGGCAGGGTGGAGCCCTCGGGCCTGGGACGGTCGCACCAGGTCCCCCGCCCTCGCCGCTCCCGACAGGTGGCGGCCCTCCGCTCTGGGTGTTCCTACCCCGCCCGGATCCCGGGGCGAGACAGCGCGCACCTGGAGCGAGCGGCCCAGCGCCGCGCAGGGAAGAGAGGACGCGGCCCCCGGCCCATCCGCCGCCGGCCCCGCCCCTCCGGGGCCTCGCCCAGCGGTCCTGGTCCTCCCGGCCTCCTGCCTGGTCCTCCGCCCGGCGCCACCCCAATATGGTGCGTCTCACCGTGGCCCCACACTCACCCTCTCGCGGCGGAGCGGGAGCCACCAGTGCGAACGCAGCCCTGCCGGCGCCTGCGTCCAGGGCGCCAGACTACATTTCCCACAAGGCCGCAGGGGAGCGGCGCGGCCGTTGGAGCGCGCAGGCGCGAGCCCGCGGAACGGTGAGACTTTCCAGGGGAAGGACCCGAATGGCCTAATGGCCTCCGGCTGGCTTCCACTCGGCTCCTTGGCGTTGGTGGATTTTCGTCTCGGGAAGCTGGAAGAGGACTGCGTGACGACCTTGTCCGGCTACCCCGAGGAAGTCCCTCCTCGTTAGAGCCTTAACTAAGCCTCACTTTCCTCTTGGAAATAACGAGACCCTTGCACAGTGGTCGGAAGGTAGTAACCGTAAGCCGTACACAGAGTGGGCGCTCCGTGGACAGGGATCACTGTACCCCACCCGAGCTCAGTGTCGGGCGCTACGCTGGGTGCCCACCACTAGCGCAGCGTACAATGCAGCGAACGTTTCCAATTAAAAACATGGCCGAGTCCCTTCAGCTGGATCTGTCGCTGGAACTTGGAGAAATAGATGACATTCGGGCCACATAAATATGGTAGCGTAGATTGTAATGCTTGGTTTTATAAAGGTAACCGCTGATTTCTTCTGCCTTTCTATTGCTGTGACAGAGACTTGACCAAACTTCAGACAGTTTCCTCTGAGTGCTCGTTCTACTAGGCCCTATTGGGCCCAGTCCCTAGCCTGCGGAGCCTTCGTTTTACCGAGCATCCGGCTAAGTCAGTTTAGGAAGATGCCCCATTCTGGGTATCTGATCAAATGCCTTTTCCCCTACTTTTGATGTCTACGTCCTTGGGCTGCCTTTACCAAAAATCCTATTGAGACAGGTTCGCAAGAATCCCCCAGTTTTGCAGTCTCCTTTTGGTACTTTTCCATCCACTCACCCCCTTACTCTGCTTGTTGCTTCTGTCCGTCCGCAACTCTCCTTGCTGTATTGGGAGTTGAATTCAATTTTACTGAAGCCGCTCTCCTCTGTTGGAGTAGTACTGAGTAAAGTATTTCTTTACTACTTTTAATTGATACCTTTCTTTATTTAACTAACTTTATTCCCTTTTGAGAGCTGTCTGAACTATTGCAAAATACTGAAAAATATGAAAATCTTCATGATTCCTTTAATAAGGCTAAAGTAACCCAGATAGCACCAAACCAAGTAAAAATCTATCACTACAATAATACCAAAACCTTGAACCGCTTTCTCCACCACTACAGGTCATTCTTAAATTAGAAACTACATGAACATATTCATCATAGTTGTTCTGCTATAGAGAAACTGTCCTTGATAAAACTCACAATATGGAGTGTGCAATTTCCAAATAAGTATGCAGAGGTATAGAGGGGAGAGGGAGGACAAATAAAGTAAACCACATACACACAAAAAAACGAACAAAAATTTGGACAAATGTACATAAGGAGATGGCAGCGATAAATCCAGGTCTATCAGTAGTCACTAGATATGCACATGGACTGAACTTTCCAAACTATAAAACTAGATATTTAAAAACATATGATAATAAATAAAAAAATTTTAAAAAAAAAACATATGATAAAACAAGGATACACACATCTTAAAAGTAGAATGTTGGAAAACGGCACACCTGACAAATATTGGCCAAAGTAAATTCATGTGGCTACATTTAGTTCTATAAGAAATAACATGTTAAAAAAATATTACTAGAAGTAGGAAAGGTGGGCAGCCCGGGTGGCTCAACGGTTTAGCGCCTGCCTTTAGCCCAGGGCATGATGCTAGAGACCCAGGATCGAATCCCACATCAGGCTCCCTGCATGAAGCCTGCTTCTCCCTCTGCCTGCGTCTCTGCCTCTCTCTCTCTCTGTGTGTCTCTCATGAATAAATAAGTTAAAAAAAAAGAGGTAGGGAAGGTAATTACATAACAATAAAAAGTTATTTCACCAAGAGAAAATAAACTCATAGTTTTGAAGCTATAACAATATAGCTTCAAAATATATAAAGCAAAAATTGACAGAAGAATTGACAAATCCATTACAGATGTATTTTTAACCTGTCATTATCAGTAACTGGTAGAAAAGCTACCCACCCCCCCATGGCACTAAAATATGGAATTTTTGAATAGCACAATTAATGTGTTTACTTTAATAAATATATAGAATTCTACATTCAAAAATTAATGAAAACACATTTTTAATCACGTTTTTTTAAAAAATGACCTAATGCTAAGCTATGAAGTAGTCTCAAACATTTCAAAGAATTGGGATCATAAAAACCACATAATTTCACAACAATGCCAATTAGACATTGTTTTTAAAGATTTATTTATTTTAGAGAAAGAGAACACAAGCAGGGGGAGTAGCAGAAGGAGAGGGAGAGAACCTCAAGCGGGCTCCAGCTCCCTGCTGAGCACGCAGAACCTCGCTGGATCCCATGACCTGAGCCGAAATCAAGAGGTGGTGACTTAACCGAGCCACCCAGGCACCCCCTCAATTACACATTTTTTAAAAGACCAGAAACTTCTTTAAAAATTTAGATAAAAGGGAATATTTAGAGATTGGGCCAGTTGTGCTAACAAATTCTTTTACCAAACTCTGATCAGACTCCTCTGATTTTGTTCAACTGCCCCTCATTGCAGCAAGTACCTCCTTGATACTTGGACCCGAGACTGCCCTTCCCTCCTTGAATTCTCATCCCTGTTTCCTTAACTCAGGGGGACACCCTGTTCTCTGCCTGGATCCCCCTACTCACTGCATCCTGGGAGCTCCACAGCTCTGATCTGGGGCATCCACCGGGCTCCTGTTCCTCAGTTCCTGCCTCCAGACACTGTGCTATACTCCTGTTACTAAGTCACATGGAGTTCATCTGGTTTTTTACTCATCTGGTGCTGGAAGTCTGGATCCTGTGCTTTCATCACAGGCTTAAGGAGAAACTTGAGATTCTTTATTACCTTAAAATGACATGATTCTAGCTTACTTTCTGGAACATTAGATTATTTTCATTACTGCAATTTTCCATATTTTAACAGATTCCCAGGTAAGACATTAATAGGTTGCCACACATTAAAAGTATCTTTTATTTTTTTAATTTTTATTTTTTCAATATTTTTTCTCCAACTTGAGTACAGTTGACACAATGTTACATTAGTCTCATGTATTAATATAGCGATTTGACAAGTCTTTACATTATGCTGGGTTCACAAGTGTAGCTACCATCTATCACCATATAATGCTATTATCTTATCATTGAGTATATTCCTTATTCTGTGCCATTTATACCTGTCTTATCCCATAACTAGAATACAATATCTCCCACTCCCCTTCACCTATTTTGCCCATTCATCTGCCCCCTACCCATCAGTTTGTTCTATTTATAGGTCTGATACTTTTTGTTTGCTTATTCATGTGTTTTTGTTTATTTTTTATTTACTTTAAAAAAGTATTTTTATTGAAGTTCAATTGCCAACATACAGCATAACACCCAAGTGCTCGTCCCATCAAGTGCCCCCCTCAGTGCCCATCACCCAGTCACCCCAATCCCCTGCCAACCTCCCCTTCCACTACCCCTTGTTCATTTCCCAGAGTTAGGTGTCTCATGTTTTGTCACCCTCACTAATATTTTCACTCATTTTCTCTCCTTTCCCTTTATTCCCTTTCACTATTTCTTATATTCCCCAAAGGAATGAGACCATATAATGTTTGTCCTTTTCCGATTGACTTATTTCACTCAGCATAATACCCTCCAGGTCCATCCACGTCGAAGCAAATAGTGGGTATTTGTCGTTTCTAATGGCTGAGGAATATTCCATTGTATACATAAACCACATCTTCTTTATCCATTCATCTTTCGATGGACACCGAGGCTCCTTCCACAGTTCGACTATTGTGGACATGGCTGCTAGAAACATCGGGGTGCAGGTGTCCCGGCGTTTCACTGCATCTGTATGTTTGGGGTAAATCCCTAACAGTGCAATTGCTGGGTCGTAGGGCAGGTCTATTTTTAACTCTTTGAGGAACCTCCACACAGTTTTCCAGAGTGGCTGCACCAGTTCACATTCTCGCCAACAGTGCAAGAGGGTTCCCCTTTCTCCACATCCTCTCCAACATAGGTTGTTACCCATCTTGTTAATTTTCCCCATTCTCACTGGTGTGAGGTGGTATCTCATTGTGGTTTTGATTTGTATTTCCCTGATGGCAAGTGGTGCAGAGCATTTTCTCACGTGCATGTTGGCCATGTCTATGTCTTCCTCTGTGAGATTTCTCTTCATGTCTTTTGCCCATTTCATGATTGGATTGTTTGTTTCTTTGCTGTTGAGTTTAATAAGTTCTTTATAGATCTTGGAAACTAGCCCTTTATCTGATACGTCATTTGCAAATATCTTCTCCCATTCTGTAGGTTGTCTTTGAGTTTTGTTGACTGTTTCTTTTGCTGTGCAGAAGCTTTTTATCTTGATCAATTCCCAATAGTTCATTTTTGCTTTGGTTTCCCTTGCCTTCATACATGTCTCTTGCAAGAAGTTACTGTGGCCAAGTTCAAAAAGGGTGTTGCCTGTGTTCTCCTCTAGGATTTTAATGGATTGTCTCACATTTAGATCTTTCATCCATTTTTAGTTTATCTTTGTGTATGGTGTAAGAGAATGGTCTGTTTTCATTCTTCTGCACATGGCTGTCCAATTTTCCCAGCACCCTTTATTGAAGAGACTATCTTTTTTCCAGTGGATAGTCTTTCGTGCTTTGTCGAATATTAGCTGACCATAGAGTTGAGGGTCCACTTGTGGATTCTCTATTCTGTTCAATTAATCTATGTGTCTGTTTTTGGTGCCAGTACCACACTGTCTTGATGATTACAGGTTTGTAGTACAACCTGAAATCTGGCATTGTGATGCCCCCAGCTCTGGTTTTCTTTTCTTTTCTTTTCTTTTCTTTTCTTTTCTTTTCTTTTCTTTCTTTTTTCTTTCTTTTCTTTTTTCTTTTCTTTTTTCTG